TTTTGTAGTAGTTTAGTGAGAGGTTTAGAGAGTTTAGCAAAATTGGGAATAAAACGACGATAGTAACCGGCTAGACCTAGAAAAGATTTTATTTCTTTTGGTGTTTTCGGTTCAGAAAATCGTTGGATACAATCGACTTTAGAAGGGTTAGGCTTGACGCCATCTTGGGTAATGAGATGTCCGAGATATGCTACCTCTTTCCTGAGAAATTCACATTTATCAGGCTGGATTTTAAGATTTGCTTTTCGAAGACGTTTGAAGACTTCAGTAAGACGGGAAATGTGTTCGTGAATGGTAGGGGAGTATACTATAATATCGTCCATATAGACAAGACATCGTTCGTTCAAAACACCTAAAAGAATATTGTCCATGACACGCTGGAATGTGGACGGTGCATATTTAAGTCCAAAAGGCATACGAGTAAATTCATAATGTCCGTTTTCGACAGAGAAGGCTGTTTTAGGAATATCTTTGGGATCGATTTTAACTTGATTAGGGGATTTATTGTTACGCGAATTAGTTTCTACTTTGTGGAGAGGTAATGTTTTAAAGTTTGTAATTAGTTGTTTGTTTTTGAGGTCTATCGTACACTCGTAATGTTCTAAGAAATCGAGGCCTAAGATTCCATCGAAATCAATATCTAAATTATAAATGAAGACCTTATGGGGGTTTCCCACTTGAAACGGGACTAAAGTTGATTCAGTGACAAAAATTTTTTGGTCTGTAATACCTTGTATAGTAATTTGTTCGGGAAAACGTGGTTTGAAATTTTTCACGGTATTTTCTTTAAAGATAGAGATACCAGCACCGGTATCGATAAGTAATTTAAACGTATTTGATGCGTCTTTTATATAGTACAGGTTTTTAGAGTTTACAGCAAGAAGAGGGCTTAAAGAAAAGTCTGTTCTGGAAAGTTCAGCGATGGGTTCATGTCGTCCAAATTCAGAGTTTGTATCTGATTTTGTATTTGAGACAGAGATTCGTTCATTGAACTGGTATTGTCTGGTGGATGGTTCTGATTCGGGACTGTGAGAAAATCCTGATAGTCTTGGCTATCATTTAAATCGGTTGATTGATCAAATGAATGGTAATAATCGGTAGGTGAATAATTATTATCACAGAAATCTTCGTATTGGTAGCTTTCATTTAAAGCTGAAGTATAGTCGTTAATATAGTCAGGCTCATAGTTAACGAAATGAGCTCTGTGCCCATCGTTTGAAAAATTAGGATTTTTATGGATTACAGAAGGGCGTACTTGTGAATTATTTTGATTTGGTGTGAATTGAGGTCTTTGTTGGTCATTGTGTCTATTGTTTTGAAAATTATTATTTGAGCTGAAAGTTGGTCTCTGAAAGCCATTGCTTTGAGTGTTATTGAAGTTTTGATGGCTATTAAAATTTCGAGAATTGTTAAAATTATGAGAGTTGTTGGAATTCTGCGAATTATTTTGGGAATTTTGTCGAGAACGACATTCATTGTACGAGTGGCCCATACGTCCACAAAATGTGCATCTATGTGGTTGAAGGTTTGGTCTTCTAATGGGTTGATTATTTTGATTGGGTTTTGGGAGGATTGGATCTATTGATTTTTTGTATTTCGAAATACGATAATTGTAACTCTCGTCTGATGCGGACTTGAGCTTCAAGAAGGTCTTTTGGATTACTTGCACGAATAATATGAGCGATTTTTGGATCGAGGCCGGTCAATAAGGTATTGAGCGCCATTGATTCAATTAATACAATTTGGGCCTGTTTTTCTACAGCAGAGAGGCTAGATTTCTGTATATTAGCGTGCATTTTTGCATTAAGGACTTGGACACGATTAAGGAATGTAAGAGCCGATTCATTTGGAAGTTGTTTGACTCTTTGTAAATCTTGTATCAAAGAAGATAAGTCTCTAGTGTCTCCAAAATGAGAGGTAAGAAGCTGTTTAATTTCCAGATACGATAATGGATTTCTTGAACTTATAAGTTGCGCTGCTCTTCCGCGTAATTTATTTTTAATGTGAATTACTAATAGTTGTTTTTGATCGCGCGTAGACATATTGTAGGCATAATCGCAAGCATTTAAAATGTTTGTAAAAATATTTGATCGCCTTCAAATTCGGGTACGATAGAAAATATTTCAGATAATTTATAAGGTTCTATTTCAGGCTGGTTCTCATTACGAGAAGCGGGACGAGAAATGTTGCCGTTATCATTCATGATGGTTAATAAATCAATAAACGAAATAGAAGTAAAAATATAAGATAATGGATTAATTAACTAAATAATTAATCAAATATAAATATCAAATAATAAAACAAAATGTAAATATCAAAATAATAAATCGAAAATGTAAATATTAAAATAATATGTCAAAATATAGGAAAAGTATTTTTCTAAGACAGTGTGTGATTAGCAGAATAATCGACACAGGTAATCGTTTAATAAAATAAAAATAAAAATGTTGACGATTTACAGAATAATCGCCAAAATTTTATAATTATTAAAGTAATTATCAAAAAATATTCAAATTCGGCATAAAATTATTAATTAAAAGAATATTTTATATTGGAATATCGAACAGTATATGGTAATAAATGGTATAAAACAAAAATTATATACGAGATGACTCAGTATTAGACTTACATTAGTTCCAAAAATATCTAGTCGTCTTGTTCTCGACAGCTAATCTACCAGGGGCTTCACTTGGTGTTCCTTCCGTAGATGTCTGCAAAGTTAGGGCGGCACTGCTTTTTGGAGTTTTCTGGTTCTTTTTTCTGATTAAAGGATTGGAATCCACCGTTGTCAGTAAGGTTCTCCTTGTTGTGCCAACGTTTCCAGATCCTACTGCGACTGCGCCACTTTTTACTTATTAAAGCCCAAATATTGATCAAATTAAGAATATAACCAAAGACCACCTTTTTCTTCTTCTCCCCAAATTATGTCTATCATACAGCTTGTCTTACCCACTCCCACTTTTGGACATATTGTAAAATGAAATGCAAGTATTTCAGATTTTTTTCTCGCTAAATGTATTACCAATTGCAGAATCGTGTTCCTTTCTGGATAGTAGGAAAACACTTTTAGATCTCTTAGAAACATGAATCTGTTTTTGAAAATCCAAATTTTGTGCTTTTTATTTTTTTTGTATTGTTTGGTATACATGAAGAAGCGACTTTTTTTATTTTCGTGCAGAGTTCTGACTAAAGTTAGTTTATTTTTAACTAATAAACGAATTGATAATGGGATGCTAGAATACCAGTTGTCTGTTGTTATTTTTTTTTGTCATTTTTATCAACATGTTAAATTAAATTTTGTTAACGCAATATATTCCTGATTATATGAAACTAAATATTGACCTTCGGGTTGCGTTTCCAAGTGAACCTGCATATTTATCGTATAAAAGTTCCTTGCATCAGACATCGCAATTTGCTTTATTCCATAACGGCTAATATTCGAAGAATTTTGCTAACGGATTATGAACGAATGGACGAAGGGGCGTGCATGATTTGGACGCCAAACTTAAAATTCGACACTGAAAAATAAAATTACTTGTTTTTGCATACATGATTTGGACGCTGGGTGCAATTGGTAAATGAAAAGTCAAGTAATAAAATTCTAGAGATTAATCTTGATAAGGTTTATTTGTCACTTTGAAATAAATACGACATACATTTTACGAATTGGATTCTACTCTTTGGATCTTTAAGTCTATTACTTTCACTATTACAGACACTATTAATTTTAATGTAAGTGTCAGTTTAAAATTTCTTTAAAACATTAATAAAATGGAAAATATTTAGATGAGCATGAAAAAAACCATCATTAAAACGTAAGTGGAACCATTCACAAGCGTTAGTTGTTAATTGTAAAATCTCACTCATTGCAGCCCACATCTCCGACGGAACTGTTGCATGGTCGCCAATGTAGTTGTCCAATAAGCAGTCGGAAAACTTTTCAATTTTTGAATCCTTTGGTTGAATAGCCAAATATATGAATATATATGAAAGATTCTTCGACTTGACGTTTGAACGTTCATGCTTGTCTAAGGTCTAATATTAAAAAGCCATGACATGGCTATTCTGCCTAGTCCACTTCGGCCTTCTATCTTTTCTTCAGTTATTATTCGTAGCAGGTTATATTTGACCATTCTTATTATGGGGCATATGTACGTATCTTTTTTTCTTAGTCGTTTTTTTTACTCTATGCTTATGGTGTTTAAAATACTGTACGATTCGTAATGTGTTGTGTTCATGATATTCTGAGCATTCTGTGATAAAGTTACATTTTAAACTAAACGTAGCATTTACATTATACCTTTTATTCGGATGTCCCAGCTTAGTTCAAATCAGATACTTGATACCCTACATTCTTCTTCTTTTTAGATTTGTATTAGATGATCACCCTTGTCATTAAGTGTTAATAATTCGTTTCCTTCAGTGATATTATTAAGTTTTCTTCATCTTTGCTGATTTTTGCATTAAAGTAGCCTAGTATAAGGTGGTGTTTCTTGGGGCTTTCTGGTTTCCGATATTCCTGCATAACCCTGTTCTACTTTAGTCTTTTCTTTGTTTTCTGTGGTTGCATGTATTTATATTAGATTGAGTAAAGTGTTTTTACATTTTAGTTGTAGGAGCGCTATCCTTTCAGAGTTTAGGGATACAGTTTTCTAGAGATTTATTAATGTTTTTGTGTACGACTAATGCGACCATATATGGCGGAGGACAGTTACTTCCTCCTTCAGAAAAGTAGATACCTTGGTTATCAATTTCTAGTCTTTATGTAGTGAGCCAACTTACTTCGCGTATCTTAATACTTCGTATAATCTTAATATTTTAATAGTATTCCTGCTCATCTTTTGATTTACATTATGGACCTTTCCTGCTTTCAGTTAAATTCGAATCATTATAGCACGTCCGGAGACTGTTTGAACCTTTGTTATAAGTTTGTTTCTTGTTTTCTAATTTTAACCGTTAGTCAATATTAACGAATAAAAAATAGGAGAGTATGTACTTACCGCATACGTTGATATAAGATCATTTTTGCCATAAAATAAGGCTACTGGTACAGTCATATTACTTAAATCGTAAATAGGTGGTTTTATGCTGTTGTATATTTGTTCATTTTTGATCATTCCATAATCATATTGGCTGAATAATCCTGAAAGACATTGGAAAAAGTTAGCCTGTTTGGTATTAGAATATTTTTAGAGCGTAGTACCAGATAAAGAAAGATAATAAAAACATTACTACCGTTTTTGTATTATAAATCTACTCTTGTCTAAATCATTAGTGAAGCCGTTTCTTGTATTAGGATAAAATGCAGAGTTTTTTAGTTTTTAAAATTTAAGCGTAAAATACCTTTACTATTTTTGGAAATTGGTTTATAGAACAATATAAAACCAACATCGGTACACAAATTGGATCCTGCATTCTGCCAGGCTTTCAACTTTTTTTTCACTTTGATAAAACGAAAGGCAGATATCGAGCACTGTTTTATTAAATGAATCTTGCCCAAGTACTTTCGCTTTTCAGAGCATCTCAGGGCATCATAAATAAGCCAAGAAACATTTTTTAAGTAAAGAATTTAATTAACTTCGATAAAAACCTTGAAATAATTGGATGATAAAAGTTTTTTTTTGATTAACGTGTTAGACTTACTTCGTCAATTTTGGGCTACCCAACAATTGCAGAATGTCGTAGATATAAAATTAAACATTAAATTGTACATAACACTACACTAAAACAAGGGCAAACAGTTTAAAATTATTTAAAAAATAGTCAAAGCTACATTCTGGTAGGCAACAGAAAAGAAAATGACTCCCGGTATTAACGGTAATGTTAAGGTGACATGTAACATATGACAACTTGGATGGGCAGTCACAATCATGGAGATGTGATCTGCATATTTCAAAATTCTATGTAACTACGTATTGACCAAAGTTACAACTGACACTACTTTAGGAAATCAACTAACGAAATATGACATATACGATATTTTAACTACATTGTATAATCTCACACTTAAACCTGTCTATAATAATTAGCGTGTAAGTTTGAGAGCAACTAAAGTGGACGTAAAGTATGAATGCAGGAACTAGACTAAACAATTTATTAGACAGTGGGTGGTTGACTACAATAAAAGGGTGTACCATGCACTATCAATACTGTAGAAAAGAAGAAATCTGACTAAGAAATTAAAATACTACAAATTAAAAAACTAAATAACCAAAATTGAAAGCAGTGTATAAATGGGATATAATTTAAGTAGTTCGGTTAAACTTCTAGTAAATTGTAAAACTATACAATTAATATGTAAAAGCGTTACTCAAGACCAACTGACCAATAATGGGAGATGTTAAAATATACAACAGTAGAGATGGTGTATCTAAATTACGCAGAGGTATGAGGAGTATAATTAACGTCAACTATGGATTAATTGAACCTGTGCAAGCTAGTTTTGTAAATTGTTGACGAATTAAATAGTAATGTTGATTACAATAATGAAGTATGAAATTAATAAATTCTTAATGGGTATACTCAGTACAGGAAGTCTAAACCGCCGAGCTGCGTCCACTACGAGGTGAAGCTGCAATAAAGTTTTTAAAAATAGATTTAACTTTACATACATACTTTAATAGGTACAAAATTTAAATTAATTTAAGTACTAAGACAGTGAGAGTTACTATTTGTTTCCTCTGTAATCTCCAAATCTTCCAATAAATCTAACTCCAAATAGTTTTTCGTTCTACTAATGTCAGGTAAAATAGATGAACCAGTATTGATGTTAAAATTGTGTTTACTAGATAAGTGTTGACCAAAACTTAAAGAGTTTTTTCAAATATTTTAAAATTCTAGTAGATAACTTTCTAATGGTTTATTCGTCTTCCGGGTTTGGACCGTGTCATTTGTGAGTGACCCAAAAGTGGGTTCATCTCGACGTTTCGCTACAATTGTATGTAGCTTCTTCAGGAGAACAAAGAAAAAGAAAAAGAAAAAGAAGACAGGAAGATGGGTAGTTAGCAACGGTAACTCAGTTACTCAACGCAACCAGAGACGAATACTAACTACCAAGATGGGCATTTGGTCACAGTAACTCAACTACTCAACGCAGCCAGAGGTGAAAACCAAATGCCAGGACAGGGATTCACGTCCAACAGCTCAGAACACTAACGCGTCGTGAGGCGGGAACTAGTTGAGTTACTGTAACCAAATGCCCACCTTGGTAGTTAGTATTCGCCTCTGGTTGCGTTGAGTAACTGAGTTACTTTTGCTAACTACCCATCTTCCTGTCTTCTTTTTCTTTTTCTTTTTCTTTGTTCACCTGAAGAAGCTACATACAATTGTAGCGAAACGTCGAGATGAACCCACTTTCGGGTCACTCACAAATGACACGGTCCAAACCCGGAAGACGAACAAACTATAATTCTGACTCTGGCCGTGGAAGCTATACGATTTCATTTAACTTTCTAATGGTTCTACCTACATAAAAATCATCACACTTTAATTTATAAATAC